ACTATTTATTTCTTAATTAAACCATTTTTCAAAGAAAAGAAAAGTTCCATAAGGAAGTTTGTTTTTAAATGAAAATGTAGACTCGATTTAAAAAAAAGTAAAATGATCCTTCAAACTACCCTGAAAGTTTTCAACAAATTAAAAATAATTCAGACATACTTCCCCCCTGGAAACTAACAAACTCTCGTACATTTTCCCCAATATTGTCGTTCTCGAGAAACATACTTAGACTTCGACTAAAGTTTTCAAACCAACGCTTTATATAAATCAGTATTTACCACGTATGCTCGATATATTTGTATAATAACCCTGATCGTGAACTTATCTTTAAACTGAAAGTAGTAATTTACCTCATTGGTTGCAATACGGTAAATTACGAACATTTTATTTTATTCTTTCCTTAAAATAAATTAAAATTTTCTTAAAATCGCATTAATACATAATATTAATAATTGGTAGAACAGGTATGGCCAGTGACATTGAAACAATTGACAGAACGTATTCAATCAATTGTCGATAACGTTTTGTCTCAGATGGGTAGGAAGATTTAGAGATAATCCTAATTAACACTAGATTTACGGAAGCCGTCGATTTGACGGATGTCTGATTCCATATTTAAAATTGCAGAACGCGTAAATATTATTTTTTAACAACTTATGTTGAATTTGATTGATGCAATGGCATGAACACATATTTTAATTAAAAGAAAAATCGTGTTTTAAGGTAATCGTCAACACGAAAGGTATCAATAAATATACGTGCGATCAGTGCTCGAAAATCTAGTGTTAATAACGATAGTCACCATCGTATAAGACAGCGATATCAAAAATGATTTTTTTCCTGTCAAATATATTACAGTTTTCCAGGTGTTCAAATTGTGTATCAAAATGTTGTCGATATTAATGAACTTTCGAACTGAATATCAGTCGATTTATTTTTGCTTTTCAAAGCCCTCCTATTTAACATTAAAGAAAACAATGAACGCATGGCACACAATTGGCGGCTATATCAGATCGATCGTCCCACCGCGTTGCTGACGGGTAATATCTAAGCAAACGTGAACGCAAATTCACGTGTCACGTTCATTTTCGCTCTCACGATCTATCGACACACCCACTTAGTCAAAAACGAAAAATCGGTTAACAGTTGTTCTCTATCAGAAACTATTTCGATTTACGGTAGACGTTCCTCGTGCATCGACACAAATTTCGAATTAATCTTTTCATACTGTTTCCAATAAAAATATTTCACTAACAAAGAAATTATTCCAAATGTGTGCAAATTTCATAAACACATTATTCCCAACATGAGAAACTATTTAAGATTCTACATAAATTACCATACACGTATTTGTTAGGAACTTAACGCTTCAAAGATTCATTTTCACTTTCCAACAAATTATATACAACGTTAAGAATGCAACAGTGACTAAACTACGTTTCCCGGTTTTGCAAATAAAAATATTCCAGCGTTTTAACTTTGATGCAACATGTTCTACTGGGGATTCGTTAAATCGATGTCTCGAAAAGATTGTGTGCGTGGGAACACATGCATCGACTTGTAGCTTCCATCCCCCCAGTGACAGCCGTGTTCCAAAAACACTGGCACGACAGTAACGCGAAAACTATCGAAATTTGAACTTGACTGTGACACGTCGGTCGCGAACAACTAGCAAATAAATCGAAACGCTCGAAGGGGAATCGTTGTTGTCCCGAGAAACGTGCAACGGGGGTAGCCAAGCCCTTTTTCGCAGGTGCGATAGGGCGCGACGGTCACGGGGTGGAAAGTTGAACGCAGAAAATCTAAGTCAATTGTAACAGAAAACACTCACTCGTCGATTTCCTCCTCCTCTTCCAGCAGAAGACTCATCTTTCCAGTCGTGTAATTTGGCTCACTGTACAAGGCGAAACGGTTGGCCGTACTAGTCTCTCGTTACTGAAGGGGTGTAGTCCTTTCGATGATCCTCCGCAGGACTACAGTAGCAGAAACGATGCCCGCGATCGCTCACGTTGCGCGCGCGCATTTTCTTCCTCGATTGGTGTCCTTTCCTCGCTTCGCGATGACATTCTCGCCTTAACATAATGGCGTGACGTTTGGAAATGCGCCGCTAGGAGGCTCGTTTCCCCCATTGGTCCACGCTCTGCTCCAGATTTCGGTACGCCGTCTGTGGAGAATTTTTAACCAATGAACGTAGCCCGGTGCAATTTCATTCGAATTTACAGGTAACACAGTAGAGAACTGAATCGTAATTTTTTATTCGATATTTCTATTTAGAGTACGAAAGAAATGAGATGCGTAGTACCCAGTGATGCCAGAAAACCACCGTCGGGTGCACGCTCACGCATGCCAGATGCGCGTACGTGAGCTCGTGGAGTTTCGGAAAGACGACAAAGGCAAACTGACGCATGCCCTCTCTCTCGATTCGCCGAAGCTGCCCGAAGTAATTTCGGACCGCTTCGTGGAGGTCGAGAGAGAAAGGCTCACATTTGCCTTCTCGCTCTTAACAACTGAAACCCGACCTCCCGTCAACGGCATACGATTTGGATTCTCGTGCCGAGATTCTCGACTGCCCAGGCATTTTTACTTTCCGACCTATGTAGGCGCACATGAGCAAAGTACCCATAATGAAAAAAAAATTTTGTAAAATTTATTTTACGGAAATACACGTTTTAAGACCTCCTGATCATATTCTAATTATTGAAAAAAAAGAAATTTTTTTTTATTCCCATGTATGAGCGCACATATGTATATTATTAATACGATTTTTGAAAATCAAAATACTTTAAGATTGAAAATTGATTTTAAAATCGAAAAAATCGATACTATTTTTTCAGGCGCGTTTTATTATTAGAAAATGTTATACTACATAATAAAAACAATCTTAATAAACAATATACAGAAAGAATGTACATGGCTGAAACTTTAAAAATGAAAGAATACGAATAGGGTAAGTTATAAATGTAAGGATTAAATATCTCATGATAGATCACGTCATTGGAAATGAGCAAAAAGTCGTTTTATTATACATATAGACCCTAGATCTGGGTTAGGTCTGGGTTAGGTCTGGATTAGATCTGAGTTAGATCTGAGTTAGGTCTGGGTTAGGTCTGGATTAGATCTGGGTAAGGTCTGATTTAGGTCTGGGTTACGTTTGGGTTAGGTCTGGATTAGTTAATAATCCAAATTATCTTAACCCTTTGCACTCCTATGTCAAGTGTGATTCGACATCAATTTTGATCTCAGGAGCACCTTCGTCAAGTCTCACTCGACATTCTTTCAAGTCCAAGCCAAACAGATATCATACACTTGGAAATTACAAAATACAACAACAGTGTAAATAAAACACTTATTTTAACAGGTAAATTTCAAATAAAACACTTAAAAGCATTGTTCGTCAAGTCCCATTCGACATTTTTTCGAGTCCAAACCAAATCATACACTTGGAAATTACAAAATACAACAACAGTGTAAATGAGACCTAAGCCAGACATAACCCAGACCTAACCCAGATCTAATCCAGACCTAACCCAGACATAACCCAGACCTAACCCAGACCTAACCCAGACCTAACCCAGACCTATTGATAAATTGCAGTTTCTCAATAAGCGAAAGTAGTACTTGTTATTCGAATCTTTATGCAGTGATACTTGTTCTAACAAGTTGTTTATTTTATTTCTGCGCCCTAAATTCATAATATTATAACATAATATTAAAAATTAACTTTAAACAAATTTCTTTACACATTAGTTAGTCTTTCACAATGCAGTCGTTTTGACTGCTTTTGGGCAATATAGGTATATACTAAGTTTCAGTCTTTCTAGTGTTAAATAAATCATTTTTTATCGATGTCTGCATTGCAATCTTGTGAACTGCATTTTCTATTTAAACTTACCTTCACTTTTTTCCAGAATACTGTAACTATTTATCTCTAAAATTACTAGATTGAATTTCGTTAGTAGAACCTTAATGCCTACATGCGAACATCGTTTGTTACATTATGTTAACAAATGGTAAAAATGATCAAGTATATGTGATATGGGTGTATTGTTAATAAAATCTTGCATAAATTTCTAACCCCGTTTTCCCCCCCCAACTATCAACGATCTGTTACAAATAATATTTAAAACAAAAATATTCAAAATTGTTAACTGTAACTTAACGCAAATTATTCGATATTAATATCGTCAACATCAACGAACTAAAACAATTTCTGCAAGAAATTACTCAGCCTAAAATAACTTCCGTATAAACGGGTATATGAAAACGTTGAACAGAATAATTAACAAAATACAAGCAACTCGCATGCTCGATTACTTCAAATAAACTAAAACATCGTACATCGTATATCGCTACGGTAAATCCCACGCGGAAGTGGTAATAAAAATTTCAGCATATACCATCAAATGAAAATATATTTCTCCCATAAAATATAACAATTTTTACATAATGAAAACAAAAATAAAAACTAAGATAAATTACCGTCTCGGTAATTAATTTTACAAAATAAAATTAAATCCGTCCGTTATTTTCTCTAAATCGTATAAATAGGATCGAAGGATTATTGCTGTATGCAAAAAAAGGGATTAATCGTGTTCCGAGGTGAATGTTGTACCATGCGTCAATGCTACTGTCACAAACTGCGTTTATTTTTATCATTAATGTATATTATTTATTATAAATAAGTTAGAAACATTGATTTCATTTTGGGCTTGGTAGGTGTTTACATTTTATACACACAGAAAGAATACCCAACATATTATGCTTTCAGAAAAATGTATACTTTTGACAAAAAATGATTTACAAATGAACTATAGCCACAAGTTTGCACAACACTCGTTCGTTCTCAGATCGGGCGATAGAAAGCCACGACGTGTTCGTCTCAACCGATTTTTTTTTTTCTATGTTTTATTAAAATGTGTCCCATGCATGCCCGCACACTATGATCATTCTCTCTCTCTTTCTCATTCTCTCTCTCTCTCTATCTCTCTCTCTCTATTTCACACACTCTCTCTCTCTCTACCCTCTCCCTCTCACTTGTACTATCATTTTTTCTCACTAGCATCGTTTTGCACTTGAAATACAACGTTTGTTTACCCTCCCGCGCAGCAGCCATCCGTTCGCTTAAATTCACGCACACTCTCACTGAAAACCAAGCAGTATTATTATTAATAATTATTATTATTATTACTATTATTAATAATTATTATTATTATTATTCAATATTATTTGTTATTATCTCTTAATATTATATTTTATCCAATGTATTTATATATATTTTTTTTTTCTTTTTTCTTTCAATATAAACTCAGTGTTTTTAACCAAAGTAGGTATGACATATGGCTGCCCAATGTGCGTGCAGTGTCAGCACTGTCAGAGTTAGACATTCGGATAGCATGCGTACAAATGTCTACACTCTGCGTTACAAATCCGACCAACACCGGGGTGGAGTTTATTGTGCGTGTACTCTCTGGGGTACGTGCCAGTTTCTACCACCTTCGTTACGAATGTTCTTACAAGCGAAACACCGGTAAAGATGGCAGAAACGTTAGGTTTAGTCGATTCGTTGGGGAAATTTACGAGCAATGGGCAGCGGCGCTTAGCTACCATGAGCGAGCGCAGGCAGTGAGCAGGTCATACATACGTACACTGTAATGTGGATACAATGCATGCCAGGGGGCATTAGTTTTTTAACCGTGTCCCTTGCTACGCAAACGCTGTGCCAACAAAGCGAGGGCTGGATGAAAGGAAAAGCCATCGTTATGATTAAGATTCTTATGTCACTTAGAAATCGTAAGATTATAGTTTGTATGGCATGAGATCGCAGCCCTCACGTTTCTGTACACAGCCTATGGAGACGAGAGATGGCAGGGGGAAACGTGCAACCTCTCATCTCCTAATTATCTAAAGTCACATCGAACAGATGTCGTTTTCTAATAATTTCCTTAATATTGAAGGGGAATAAAATTTCCTTCCTGCTGGCTTTATCTTGCTCTCTTTTGATGCTAACCTATGTTTCATTTTCATATATTATATATAACAATATTTATATGATGAATTATGAATTTGAGTCGCATGCAGAAAAAACTTTTAATTCGCTTCTGGCACGGATTAAAAGAAACTAAACACTTTGGCTTTTGCATCTAAGAAGGGACTGGAATAAAAACACCGCACTAGTAAATGGCACTAGAATTGCTCTCACTTGTGTCACCGACTACTTTGTGATCAAAAAGCATTTTGTCCTTCGTCGCTTCGGTTTCTTGCTGAGATCTCTCGATTTTAGACATACACTTGGACAGACATTTGTATGGCATGGCTGCACTCTATCTTATATGCTTATTTACGTGTTGTTTGTTGGTATCGTTATATAAAAAATCAGATGATTACGCAGTCAGCCAGGCATGATTGACTAAACTAATCTATAAAAAAAGGTAACAAATTCAACAAACAAGAGTACGAAACTAAATCAATTTGTTGGTATTGACAGTGAAAAGGTTAGGAAAGAACGTATAACACGCTCCGATTTAGGTCCATGTTTTTCTCATCGCTGTTACCTCCGCCATAAATTTTACTAATCGATAGTTGGTACACTTGTAATGGGGCAGCGGCAATATGCTGATGGCACCACAAGTTATTGTTTATTTTCTGCCTTTCTCTTATCCTCTCCGTTTTTAGCTAAACAGAGTTCACTGATACCTTGGTCAGGGTATAAGAAAAATTTTTTAGTCCATTCTGAGGTTTTTTTACGTATTGCCATCTAAACCAGATTGTATTCTTTTAAGTTAGATTGTAGAATGGTGTCCTTTACTGCTGCAAATACAAATCTGATGTTCTCTGTGTCTGTAATAGAAACAAATTGCGAATATTTAACATTTTTATGCAAGACCAAAAACATGTGTATATCATATAACTAGACTGCGGATCTTTATGCAAATTCACATTTTTATTAATAAACTTAATGAAACGGAAGCTTCGCACAGGGCTGTCTCAACTTTTAAATATAATAATTCGTATCTTACTTTAAGTATTTCTTATATTTTTGCATATTAAACGCATTCTGTAGTTTGTTGAGGATTAAAATTTCCCAAAAATGCATAAACATCCGCAGTCTAATCATAACTTTCGTACATAAATGTATGCATCCGGGTCAAATAGAAATTTAAAAAAGTTTATTTCTATCTACTCGAGAGGATAAGAAGTTCAGAAGGAATTGAACGTTAAAAAGAAACTACAAAAGAATTGTTAGTCGATCAATTAGATTGTACAAAGTAGTTCTGAGAAGTCTTAATTTTAACAGATTTACAAATCTCTGTCGACTCGGATGCATTGATTTTTGTCTGAAAACTGTGATAATAATTTGACCATCGAACCGGTTAAGTAGCAATTAAAAAGCATTTTAACAAATTTGAACTTTATAACAAATGCACTTACCATTGATTAAAAGATCAGAATAAGCTGAAGTCGAAACACATGCAAACACATGCAATCGTTATTTTGTATGCACGAAAATTTTAAAGAACACCAGAATATAGAGTAACACTTTTACGGGGAATATCAAAGACTTAATTATACTGTGTAATGATGTATTTAAATCAAACGACCGAAGCACATTAATTCATAACAATTTTTTTTTTTATCCTTAAAATTATCAACTAAACACAACAAATCATAGATTGTCAGAATTAGTCGCAGAGGTTTTACAAAAGTATGTACAAAAACAGAAAAGCACCCAAGTATGCTGACAGATTTCGTTCGAATTGTTTTTGAATCATTTGTAATTTTGCAAAAGTGTCTACTGTGTGAATTCCATGTCTCTATGAATATGAAATGTAATATTACTTATTTGTATACACTTAACTGTGCTTTGTTGGTAGATAAAGACAAATATGTTGATAAAAGTATGTATACATGCACAGATTATAAATACATACTGTAACTCTTGCTAACTATCTTCTGAGCGAAATAAAGTTTCTGTTCAATTTAATCTGGGCAATTAAGAAATTATCAGATTGCCCAACAATGTGCAAATAAATAAGATCTATGTAACGCATGCATTAAAACTTTGTGCAGAGCATAATATTTCATCCAATTACATCATAAGATTGGCACTCGTCGATTATAATTAAGTACACTTACCAGACCGACTGTACTAATTCAATCATGTTTCAAATCTTATGTCAGAATCGTTGCATTAACCCGAATAAAAATATTTTGGCATAGCACAATAATGATTAGACTATTCGAACTAGAATATGGAATCTATATTAGCTAATAAAGCGAAATATTTTCTTTTTATCGTGTTTCACGTTTTTCTTTTTTTTTTCTTTTTTTTTTGCAACTTATTACGATAGATGTATTTGTTAAAGAAAAACAGATTGGCAGTCTTGACATATTGCACAGAAAATCGGATAGTCCAAGTTTTACTTTCGATTTACCAATGAGACCATTGCACGCTGACGTGAACTTTGTAAAAAAACCTGTGTACATTCTCGATAAAAGTAATACAATATGCATGTAGTGTTACCTAAAGATCATGTATAAATGCAAAAATTGTCCACAATCACATTAGGCGAGATTAAATTCTTTAAGCGCAGTTTGCATAATCGTATCTTTAACAGCACAGAATACAAGCTTGATGTTCTCAGTGTCTGATGATTAGATCCGTAAATGCAGCATGCAATAACAAACCACATATATTATTGTTAGTAAATGTTGGTTTCAGACATAGAAAATCAATCTAATCTTTAATAAACGAATTTAAAGATTCAAGTTTGCTTTTTACAACGACCTTTGTACGTACAAGTCGATGTGCAATCTTGTTCGCTATTTAACACTAGAAAGACTGAAACTTAGTATATACCTATATTGCCCAAAAGCAGTCAAAATGACTGCATCGTGAAAGAATAACAACTTGTTAGAACAAGTATCACTGCATAAAGATTCGAATAACAAGTACTACTTTAGCTTATTGAGAAACTGTAATTTATCAATAGGTCTGGATTAGGTCTGGGTTAGGTCTGGGTCAGGTCTGGATTAGATCTGAGTTAGATCTGAGTTAGGTCTGGGTTAGGTCTGGATTAGATCTGAGTTAGGTCTGGGTTAGGTCTGGATTAGATCTGGGTTAGGTCTGGATTAGATCTGGATTAGATCTGGGTTAGGTCTGGATTAGATCTGGGTTAGGTCTGGGTTAGGTCTGGATTATGTCTCGGTTAGGTCTGGGTTAGGTCTGGATTAGGTCTGGGTTATGTCTCCACGCACCCGTTTGGTTGTCCAGGCGGCAGGGGAGGTGAACCCCTACGTGGCGCGTCCCCAGGTGGCGGATAGGGGCAGCCGCTGGGATGGGATGCGGGGATGGGGTCATCAACCTGAGAAGGCTGGTGGCTGCATCCTCGCATGGCATCCCGGAGGTCGGAGCGAAAGCTCCCGCGGACCAAACACCGGTATGAATGTGTTGCGCGTGTGAATGTGTGTGTGAGTGGACTGGGGCATGGGGATATTTGCCGCGGATTTGACCTAAGGCCGCAGGTTGGCCAGTTGGCTGCGGGTGTGTCCTGCGGCCAACGTGGCCCCGCGGCCGGCGGCTTAGTCCCATGTCACGGGGCCGCGGGCGCTGGTGACCAGGCGCCTGCGGTTGAGTGGAAATGCGGTGGGAGGAGTGCCTCTCACCGGGAAGGGCCTGAAAAGGCACGGCGCGGCGAGGGACTCTGTGATGTCTCACTAGAGTTCCCGGTCCCTCGCCAGGCGCCTGAGGATGGTCACCGTGGGGTTTTAGCCGGTAAGAGTCCGGCACTACCCGCCGGCCCGCCCATCGGGTGGGCCCGCGGGTGTCCATGAGGATTTCCCCACGTACAAAAGGTCTGGGTTATGTCTCGGTTAGGTCTGGATTAGATCTGGGTTAGGTCTGGGTTAGGTCTGGGTTAGGTAAGCCCAAATCGACAATTTATCATGGACTTGTATGTTATCATGTGTTGGTAATCGAAAAAAAATGAAAACTGTTATTTCAATACAGAGTCGAACTGGTCATATAAGAAATTTACTCAATTCAATAATAAGAGTGATTTGATTATTTAAAATTTCCCAAGCAGTCAAAATGACTGCTTTTTTGGGCAATATAGGTATAACACATATATATATATATATACCGGAAATGAAGGAGGGGAGAGGTAACTACAATTATTAATAAACGCATTTATATGTTGTACAAAAAGTCACAAAATTCTAAGAAATTGTGTCATTATATACATAATTGTTTTTCTAATTGATATTAAGAAGCAGTCAAAATGACTTCCTTGGGCAATCTAGTGTTAAATGATCAATGATCATAACATCTATTACATTCGTACAAAGTGAGAAATGTTATTTGATTAAATACTTGTATATTACATTGTATATAATAATAGATTGATTTTCCTGTAATAAATAATATTATTATAAGAATTACCTTATGCACCTTGCTTTGGGAATAGAAGCAGCATGCGGATTAACTTGCCAACATACATGATATTTAAAAGGAAATAAATGCACGTTACCAGCGATTACTAGCACAACCTACCTGTGGCACACGTGAAGTGTGAATAAATAATCTTCTCCGTGTCTGGATTCAAATCGACAAACATCCTCAAAATGAATTCTCTAGCAGCTAGGGCACTCCTCGGTTGCCCTGCGAAATACACAAGCAAGCATACGAATTTACGTGGCTTCTACATTAAAAATAAGCATACAAATCTCAGTATTTCTCTCGTAATTAAATTGTCAGTAGGGTATTATTTAGGATTTGATTGAGTCCAAGTCAAATACTGATTAGTACTGATAGCATTAAATTAAAAGATTTATACTACATATGAAAATGTGAAATAAAACTATGATCGAACCGGATCGTTCCAATGTGATACATAAATCACTATCTTAAAATTATACATAAGAGTTAGAAAATTGGAACGATTATGTATTGTTTCAGCCACTTTCTATTTCCCTCTGTTATTGATTCTGGATTGCTCGAACGTAAATCCAATAAATGTTACAAGGGCGAACAGTCGAATTGGATTCGTTTACTCTGAAAGAAGCCTTGCGAAAACTTTACCAAGTAGACAAATCTCTTATGTAAGTTTTTTTTTATATAGATGTACACGCTATTGGATTATTACAACATGTGTATCTTAACGGCTGTGCAGGTTTACAAGAAGCTAAGAGACGTTCACTTAAAATTCTCTGAAAGTCGATTGCAAAATAAAGAAGAACTAGTATTGACTTTTTACATATGTACATTGATTCTATATTGCTGATATCGTTGTTATTTATTATAAATGGATCGTGTGATACGTAAACTGAAATACGAACAATAGCTTTTCCTATGGTGGGGTAATGGTTAAGCTTTAGGTATGCAGTTACAATTTTATGACTGATTACTGGATCGATTTAGAATGTTTTTTCTACAGAAAAATCTACAATTTTTGCCAGGATGTGTTGTACTTGAACAGACCTGTCGCACACGTAAAGTGAGAGTAGCACATGCGGTCAGGATCAGGATTCGAACTGAGATAAACCTTTAAGATGAATTCCCTGGCCGGTACATCTTGCTGTTTAGGGCCTATACCATAAAACTTATTGATTTACTAGTAACAAAACGAACAGTACATTCCAAAATAATTGCAAAATAATTATTAACCTGATCCTCTGAACGGTTACTGAACATTTTAAACTGTGTTTCATCCTTCGCCTAACTCATAAGGGTATGCAAGTTACAAACTAAAACTCTTTTATATTATTTCGTATAACAAAAAGAATTTTCTAAACATTTCCATCGACTTCAGAAAACGCGAACAAATCTTTTTGCCGATCAGAATTTCCAGAACCTGTTTATTCGTCAAATTAATTTTTAAATCGTTAAAGTGCTACAATGTTGCTGAATTAAGAATAATTAACGCGTACGATATATTAGGTTGGCCATGAAGTAAATAGAAAATAATTCTCTTGTAGACTAAAAGTAATCGAGAGCTGTTTAATGGTCTCTTATCAAATTTTTGTACACTGAGAGAATTTTTCAGAAGATAAAGCAAACGAAAACTTTTTATTTCAAATAAAAACACCATTTGTAGTTTGCGTTTTTTTAAAATATGACAATATGCCAAAAGTGCTCTTCAAACTTCTTAGTTAGAATATACATATGTACAGTTTAATGTTAGCTATGGAACCATCGTGTTCCTTGGTCATGCTTTTTGGTCAACCCAAGATATTTTATTGTTGCGTAACGTTAAAAATTAATAAGAGTCTCATAGACAGTTTTGTTTTCAAAATTAATGCTGCTGTGTACTCACCATCGTATTCAGGAAAATAGTCAACAAGATGGGAATACATAATCTTCTCTTCGAGCAGATCTTTTTTGTTTAGGAACAAAATAACAGAGGAGTGTTGAAACCAAGGATATGTAATAATTGTTTTGAACAATGCCTTACTTTCTTCCATTCGATTCTGAAAACATCAAGTGTAATTTTCAATATCTGCACGTATTTGTGAAATCACGATTTAAGTATCTGATCATATTTACCTCATTTTCCGACTCAAATAAGATTTGATCATATTCACTTAAAGCTACTAAAAAGATAATGGAGGTGACATTTTCGAAACAATGAATCCACTTTCTTCTTTCTGATCTCTGTCCACCAACATCTACCATCCTGTAAAATACGTTGATATAAGTATTGTTGAATATTTGTTAGAATTATCATATATTTGCTACATGTTAATAAAACGAATCTGCATAATTTTATATTACTTTTGTCATTACTCAATGCAATTTGCAATTACTACTATTTTACATAACAGTAAAATCGATTCACTAATGGAGTATTAATTAAAAACAGTGATATGTACAAAACTTTATTATGTGAATATTGCATGAAAAACATGCAAACAATAAGCTGTTCAAAGCAAAAGAAGAATATATATGTAAAGTTCGAATAAACGGAGAGAAAGAAAACAAGTCAGTATAATGTAGCAAATAGCATAATCCTTAAATAACGAGTTGTTTATATGTTCACTCGTTTCATAGAATTATTCTAAGACTTAAACTATAGTAACTACCTACATTTGTGTTGTAACTACTTTCTACTACTATTGTAACTACAGCCTCGTGGCTTCTAAGTTATGTACGAATAATAAATACGCATATCGGGATACTATTGCAACGAATTACATGATATTTGAGAAAACATGATAGAAATCATTATTGATACAAATAAATAGCATTTTAACTATGTACAGAGTGCGTTGGAAATCGTGGTACAATATCAAAGAACACGATTTTTTGTATAATAATAAATAGAAAATTATTAATAACAATTTTTTACGCGAAGCTTCGTTTACGAGAAAATCGATTTTAAAAATTCTTTGAGTGCACTTTTACATTTATATGTAGACACGTTTGCTTATGCAAACACTCGTAATTAATATTTAACACTTTGATAGCCGCTGTCACGTGTACGTGACTTTACTGTTCCAGTCATCATTCATGCAACTTGACACACTGTGGACCGATAACGAGAATTCTCGTTTTCGAGTACAAACATGATTTCTTTATTGTTTTTCATATAACGGCATTTTGATGCATTCAAACATTATTAATCTTGTTAGCGATACTTATATTTATTTGGATATAAAAATCTCGTTTAGATATACAGTGTGTTCGGACAACCATGGGAAAAATTTTAATGGGAGATTCTAGGATCCAAAATAAGACGAAAATCAAGAATACCATTTTGTTGATTGAGGCTTCGTTAAAAAGTTATTAACATTTAAAGTTCCGCCACTATTGAATTTTTTTCTCGAAAATACGCAGGATTTCGGGGGTATGTCTATTCACCAAAAATGATTGTAATTGACCCCCGCAATCGAAAATAATTTTTCCAAAACGATTTGAAATTTTTTTTTTCCGTCGTAAAATTTCACACTTTCTCGAATTTTTTTCTAGAAAGTGGGTAAGATTTCGGGGGTATGTCTATTCACCAAAAATGATTATAATTGACCCCTGAAACTGAAAATAATTTTTTTAGAACGATTTGAAATTTTTTAATTTTGTCGAAAAATCTGCCCATCTTCCTGAATTTTTTTCTCAAAAGTGCGAAGGATTTTGGAGATATGTCTAATGACCAAAAACAATTATAATTGACCCCTGAAACTGAAAATAATTTTTCCAAAACGATTTGAAATTTTTTAATTTTTTCGAAAAATCTGTCCATCTTCCTGAATTTTTTTCTCAAAAGTGCGATGGATTTCGGAGATATGTCTAATGACCAAAAACAATTATAAATGACCCCTGAAACTGAAAATAATTTTTCCGGAACGATTTGAAAAATTCTTTTTTCGCCGAAAAATTTCGGCACCTACTCGATTTTTTTTCTCGAAAATGGATAGGATTTCGAAGATATGTCTAATGACCAAAAACAATTATAAATGACCCCTGAAACTGAAAATAATTTTTCTAGAACGATTTGAAATTTTTTATTTTTGTCGAAAAATCTGTCCACCTTCCTGAATTTTTTTCTCAAAAGTGCGAAGGATTTCGGAGATATGTCTAATGACCAAAAACAATTACAAATGACCCCTGAAACTGAAAATAATTTTTTTAGAACGATTTGAAATTTTTTATTTTTGTCGAAAAATCTGTCCATCTTCCTGAATTTTTTCTCAAAAGTGCGAAGGATTTCGGGGATATGTCTAATGACCAAAAACAATTATAAATGACCCCTGAAACTGAAAATAATTTTTCCGGAACGATTTGAAAAATTCTTTTTTCGCCGAAAAATTTCGGCACCTACTCGATTTTTTTTCTCGAAAATGGATAGGATTTCGAAAATATGTCTAATGACCAAAAATGATTGTAATTGACCCCCGCAGCCGAAAATAATTTTTTTAGAACGCTTTGAAATTTTTGAATTTAATTGTTAATAACTTTTTAACGAAGCCTCCATCAACAAAAAAAGTAAGAGAGTTTTCGTCAGTGTTAATACATTACAAAATATATTTGGGGTGTAATTAGTTTATTAAATGAAAAATCACTGATAATCGACTTTTTTCTACTATTATACAATGTTTTAAAATGGTTACTAAGATTTAATTTGATCTTTTATAGATCTTAATATTTTTCATGGTATTTGATCGTATCAATTGCAGAATCCTATATGCATAAACAAATGTAATCACGTACACATGCAAATAAATAAAAATAATTTAAAGTGCAATTTGAAAAATTTAAATACGTTTAAGTACACGTTTAAGCGACAAATTTTCAAAATAGATTTTCTCGAAACTAAAGCCTCCTCTTAAGAAAAAATTTTATTCCAAATATTCGATTTGCTTTTGCACGAAAAATCATCCTCTTTTTTTTTGGTTATGCCACGATTTCCAGTCGCACCCTGTATAAACAGAAGAACTAAGATAATTATAAATATAAAATAGAGTACATTTCACGTATATTTAAATGTACGTGCAGCAGGCCTGGGCATTTTGAGAAATTTTCGAAATACATTATTTTAAGTTGAATTTTCAGAGTTATTTGAAAAGGAATTCATTTCAAAATCATATGTTGTCACCAAAAAATTAAATCGAAATAGAGAAATTATCGAATAAATTTTAATAAAAATTACCTGCGTACAAAATAATATCAACGTTTAAAAAAATACACCAAAATAAGAAATCTTCAAAACGCGTGAAATTAAAGCGACATCCTTATTTTAGAACGTTGATATTAATTTCGAAATTTGAACAGATCCGTTATCACCGAGCACTTAAATCCAAACAAAGAAATTGTCGAATTAATTTTAAAAAAAAGTAGCGTTGCAATTCGTTATTGTATCGTGAACCTCGAAATTTAGAATGTTTAAAAAAAATAATACACGAATTAAAATGTGAAAGCACCCAAGCACGTGTAATTAAATAGTTACATTTAATGATACGTGAAATGCTTCACGGGTAGACGTGCACTTAATATAATTCGCTATAATACCATAGTACGTGTACACTTTACGTCGTAACCCAGGATCTCTAGTAAATGTAAACGAAACTTTAACTCGTATTTAAACCACGCAGGAATCTATCTATTTCCGATCCGATGTCCCAAAAAAAAGTTAGTACGGAATTTACTTCTAAAAGTACAGTTCAAGTTCAAGTAATGTGTGTTAGTACCTAAATATGATGGAGTCCAGATCAAACGGATATTCTATAATGCCAGTAGTAGGAGCTCGAGCCCGAAGAATGTCTTGTTCAGTAGGAAGGAAGTCGGGTTTTTCGATACGCTCTAGGTCACTAAGATAACTGCAAAACAAACGAAGCCACAGTCTGATAGTGCATGCCATGCATGTATTAAAGGTGATTATGAGGAGAGGAGTATCGCGCAAAAACATCTCGCATGCTCGCCGTCCCTGAAAGAATCTTTGATAATGCGAACTTCAACGATTTACCCTTTACGTTTCACGTTTTATGACACACGAACCGATTATTACCCACGCTAACATTGTTTCGCGAATTACATAATCGACTAAGATAAGAGGGAACGCGTGGAAGGTTTTTCTTTGGAAAAAAAAAATGTGTCCTTCAGGTTGCAACAGATTTTGTCTCTCGAGTTGCTACGATGTTATCGCTGCGCCATCTACGAGACGCGTCGACGATGACTCGACTTACCGATAGATTGCAGAAGCAGAAACGTTCATATTTCTTTGTAGGTTTCCTTATTAGTAAACTGCGGATGTCTATGCATTTATGAGAAATTTTAATTTTCAAACAACTACATATGTTAATATGCAAATATATAAGAAATATTTGAAGTAAAATACGAATTATCATATTTAGAGGTTAGGTCGACCCTCTATAAAGCTACCATTTCGTTAATTCTACTAATAAAAATATGAATTTGCATAAAGATCCGCAGTCTGCTTATTGGTAACTAATTTCGATCGTCACCGTTCGATATGAAACAAATAATAGTATCGAAGCAGATCGTGTAGGCCTAATTACAGAAATAATGTATACAGAAATCCATAGGGGAGATCGGGGCAAGTTGATACAGCCAAATTACCTAGTTCATTTGAAATGCAGTAAATTTTCTAGTATTTACACTTATGTTTCAATAAAAATGTTTTGTTTATCCAGCCACATATATTAGTTTTGCATTAAATTAGAATCCCTGTATATAGATGAGGGTATATCCATTCGGTTATTTAGGTTAGGAGATTAAGTCCAGTTTATAAGGCGAACAAATAAAAGTAAAGTAAAGATAAGAAGAAAAGTAAGTATTCAGATTAAATGTTCCGAGTTCAATGATAATTTCTGAGGTGTTACATTTCGATATTTTGGTTTGCGATTCCGCGATAGTATTTAGTTAACATAGTTAAATTTTAGTATAGTGTAAATTATGTTAAGTATTATATGGAAGCAATTTGAATCCAAGTCCATTCTTAAAGTTAAATAAGCAAAAAATTAATAAATATATATATTTACATAGCTGGTATAACATATTATACCAGATTTTTTAATAAATGAATTATATCAACTTGTCTCCACGTTGGGACTCCATTGCCCAAGCATTTATTTTGTAAAGCATTTTCTTCAATATTTACTCGTAGTGTTTAAAGATGAAGGATCAAAATATATTTGAGAATACTTTTTATTAAGTTAATGGTTCAAATAAAACTAACAAAAATTGAGAATTGAAAGGAATATATCAACTTGCCCGGTTTCTTTACAATGGAACACACTATATATGTAAAAACGCTTTTGTCAAATATTTTTACGAAATATTATTACGATATTGATCAAATAAATTACTTTCAATTTGTAATGACGAAACATTAGTATGTTATTTGAGAATCATTTTACATTTTATTTTTCTTATATGAAACCCTCATAATATGCCTTTTGCATTATTCTAATTAGACATGTTCATTTACGTGTAAAATATATTCTTTCTCTGAATTTCCATGTTTGTATAAATATTTTCACTATTGGAATAATTATCAAATAAGCATCAACATGCAACAGCAAGAACATGCCGTGGTCTCCCCTAAAAGAAGCTACAGTATGTATTCTTTCACTAAATGCTAGGCCCCCCACCCCCCTTGCCCCAATTGTAAGGCCATCTGGCTCGGTTCCAGTGAAGTTCGACTCGACTTTAATGAGAACCGAGGACTTCAAATCACCGTTAAAATCTATCCACGCAATAATACGAGATTAAAACTTTTTATTTATATTCTTTTCTGTAATGAATTTTATTTCGACACGTTGGTCAAATTTTTCTGATTAAAACGAGACCAAACACGACATATATACTCGTTCAGTCTATCTTTGTAATTCGTCGAAACAACTGGTCCAAATTTTATCATGTTTGGTCCCGTTTTGATCAGAAAAATTTTACCGATACGATAAACGAATTATCATCAGATAGAATGGAGGAATAAAAGAGTTTTAATTTTGCGTCGCATGTATTTCGATCGCTGTCCTTTTCTACGACGGCGGAGGTTAAACGAGGCTCGAGTTTCGCACCGCCAACGGAAAGATACCGTACCCGAAACGAAATATTTTCCTCCTTCGTGACGTACAAAATTCTGCACAATTGTGAGATATTTGTCATTTGTTTCGTGTGCCATAAAAGCGGGCGTAATCGATGAAATTTATACGATATCGGTATAGGGGAGAAAAAGAAACGTAATAAGTGATGATTTTCATGTACAAAAGTGAAGTTTTGGTGAGTCACAACGGATGCAGGCACGATGCAGAAAGAGTCCGATGTAAGTAGTACACAGGCACAGGCAGCTTCCCCCTTTCTTTGCACGACGAGACGTACCTAAATCGAATCTCTTCCAAGTCAAAAGGATATTCAATTATACCAGTAGTGGGCACTCTCACACGAAGAATGTCCTGTTCTGTGGGGAGGTAGTTTGGTGCCGCGACTCGATCTATCTCCATTAGGTAACTGAAACATCATGTTCTCAATGCCTGATACGCGAGGAAAAGCATAACACTCCCGAAATATAACCTCGTAAAAAGAACGAATATCAAACAGGATGTGGAACAATCATAGACAAATACATACGGGTAAACATTGGGAACGACTTTAAAATTTCTTCATCGTCGAACAAATTATGAACGCTTAAGGTGGGTATTTTACTCTAAAACGCAATTCTTTAGCGATTCTTTCAAATTTTTTTGGGTGAAACGGTCAAGTATCTTTCTAGTAACTTTCAACAGATACATTTAGATCTATATTCGAAGAACGTCCACAATTTTTTCACGTAGAAAAGTATTCCATATTTTAGAGGTTATGATAACCTTAGTTTGTCACGATTCCGGTAGTTTTGCTCATCAAAAGTGGAAAAACCAAAAAGCATGTTATTGCTAAAACTGTAATAATAAAAAAATAGATATTTGGCACATTTTAAATTAAACATATCTGGTCTCGGTGTTTTTCTTTTTGTCTTTAACCCGCTAAAAAATAGGACAATGTATCGGATTTGGAAAATCGTAGTTCTAATCTATCGTCAATCGATCCACTAGAACTTGAGATATCATGGCAACCATTTTGAAAAATTTGGTTTCGAGACAAATATTTTCGAGGAGATACACTTTTAGAAAATTAAATGAACAAAGAACCTAAAGAAGGTTTCCACTGCAAACTTTTCAAAAATCGATTCTTTGTAATATTTATTGAAGAATACAATTTGAAAAATATATATGGAACATCCAATATTCAAACACCTCATTTCTTTCATATTTTTTGAGTCTACAAAAATAATAAAAAACTTTAAATACGTTTTTCTCAGAACTATACAGGGTGTTCGGTCACTCCTGGGAAAAATTTTAATGGGAGATTCTAGAGGCCAGAATAAGACGAAAATCAAGGATATTAATTTGTTGATTGAAGCTTCGTTAAAAAGTTATAGAAACATTTTTGGCCACACAGTATATTTTCGGTAAAGAATTTTTTTTCTCGAAAGTACGTAGGATTTCGGGGATATGTCTAATGACCAAAAACGATTATAATTGATCCCTGAAACTGAAAATAATTTTTTCATAACAATTTCAAATTTTTTAATTTTTTTGAAAAATCTGTCCACTTTCCTGAATTTTTTTCGCGAAAGTGCGAAGGATTTCGGGGATATGTCTAATAACCAAAATTGATTGTAATTGACCCCCTCAATCGAAAATAATTTTTTTAGAACGATTTGAAATTTTGTAATTTTTTCGAAAAATCTGTCCACCTTCTTGAATTTTTTTCTCGAAAGTGCGAAGGATTTCGAGGATATGTCTAATGACCAAAAACAATTATAAATGACCCCTGAAACTGAAAATAATTTTTCCAGAACGATTTGAAACTTTTTAATTTTTTCGAAAAATCTGTCTATTTTCCTGAATTTTTTTCTCGAAAGTACGTAGGATTTCGGGGATATGTCTAATGACCAAAAATGTTTGTAATTGACCCCCTCAATCGAAAATAATTTTTCCAGAAGGATTTGAAATTTTTTAATTTTTTCGAAAAATCTCTCCATCTTCCTTAATTTTTTTCTCGAAAGTGCGAAGGATTTCGAGGATATGTCTAATGACCAAAAATGATTATAATTGACCCCTGAAACTGAAAATAATTTTTCTAAAACGATTTGAAATTTTTGAATTTAATTGTTAATAACTTTTCAACGAAGCTTCAATCAACAAATTGATATTCTTGATTCTCGTCTTATTTCTGCCTCTAGAATCTCCCATTAAAATTTTTCCCAGGGATTTCCATAATTTGTCAACAAGTCTACTTGATCGATTAGAACAAAAGATTTGGTCTAAATCTTAAATACAGATATCTTTAGATCTAATTGAGAATTTATTTCCATTTTTCGATTCAAATGTGTGGAATGATTGAAACCATAGAAACCATCAGACCGACTTTTTTTTTTAAACAGACAGAGTGGTCAATTATTAATATTTGATTTGGAAAAAATTTGTACATATTTTACAGGTGTCAATAAATATGTGTTATATGTTTCGATAAAAGAAAGTCGTATAGTTCCTTGGCAAAAAATGATCAAAAAGGACCTAAACATACTGTAGCGTGTTTTTTCAAGAAGATGGTAATCCGAAGATATTTTCTGAAGTATCCTGAAAATTCCGTAAACGTATGTGCGTGCTCCTCTTACATCGTTCGTATCAAATCTGCACCCCGCGTACACATGTTCGAGAATCGGTTCAGCGGCCAACACATTGGAAGTTACGTCAGCGACAAAATATAACCGTACAATACCATCGAGTATAAAATTCGTACCAAAGAAAGAGTAAAAAAAAAAAAAAAAAAAAAAAAGAAATGAAAAAGAAAGACAAAAATGGTATGCTCTCCTCAAAGGAAATACGTAGCGAGAAACATCGAACGGGACCACTTACTATTTAGCGGAGTCTGTGAGTTGATATTCTCGCCTGCGATCGTAACACTCCTGGATGCCAGAATCTGCCCATAAATCCTTAATTGCTTCTACATATGGACTTTCGAACGTTGTAACCGTTTCGAAATCCACGACACGTACGAGTTCTGCTTTTTCCTACGGTTAAAGTGCGAACGTTGTATTCGAGTACCCGTAATTAACGGTCGCGAAAAAGGGGGAGCCACCGGTCATCGATAAATATACTCACTATATTCGTTGAATCGCCGTACTCGATCCTGAGAAGGTCCATCGCTCGAATCATGGATTGCATGGCCATGAAAATGTTCTGGTACACAAGTTTTATGAACCCCCTCTTGTCCTCGTCTGAGTACCCGGACCCGTGGATAATTCTCATCTGTTTGATAAAAGTCGATTTCCCAGATTCACCAGTACCTGTAACAACATTTTCCTATCGTTAATTACCATACTAAGTTATTTGAAAATTTTTATTTTCAAACTTATTTTTGACAAAATTCTCTATACAGGGTGTTCCAACCACCCATGGGAAAAATTCTAATGGGGGATTCTAGAGGCCAAAATAAGACGAAAATCAAAAATACCAATTTGTTGATGGAGGCTTCGTTAAAAAGTTATTAACGTTTAAAGTTCCATCAGTACTGAATTTTTTTCTCGAAAATGCGCAGGATTTCAGGGGTATGTCTATTCACCAAAAATGATTGTAACTGACCCCCGCACCCGAAAATAATTTTTCCAAAACGATTTTGAAATCTTTTTCTCACCCAAAACTTTCAGCACATACTCGAATTTTTTTCTCGCAAATGCGCAGGATTTCGAGGGTATGTCTATTCACCAAAAATGATTGTAACTGACCCCCGCACCCGAAAATAATTTTTCCAAAACGATTTTGAAATCTTTTTCTCACCCAAAACTTTCAGCACATACTCGAATTTTTTTCTCGAAAATGCGAAGGATTTCGAGGGTATGTCTATTCACCAAAAATTATTGTAATTGACTCCCGCACCCGAAAATAATTTTTCCAAAACGATTTTGAAATCTTTTTCTCACCCAAAACTTTCAGCACATACTCGAATTTTTTTCTCGAAAATGCGAAGGATTTCGAGGGTATGTCTATTCACCAAAAATGATTGTAATTGACTCCCGCACCCGAAAATAATTTTTCCAGAACGATTTGAAATTTGTTTTTTTCGTCGAAAAATTTAGGCACTTAGATTTTTCGAAACTTCAAAAATTGTGGATTCTACAGTCGTTTGAAAAATAGTGCGATATTTTGAAGACAAATAAAATTGATTTCAGCTTAAAAAGAATATTGTTTTACCTTGTTTTTTTTACAATTGTTATAAACAAATGGCATGTTTTAATCGTGGGAACAATTTTAAAAATCTAAGAAAATTTGAGAATATAGTTCTATTTCTCCCTTTTAATTATCTGTTGTTTTAAAAATGGTGTCATTTGAAAATCGTTCGTATGAAAATTATTTGAAGTTAATATCGCATTAAAGTTCAGAAATTTTGAATTAATTCAATATTATAATTTTTGTATCGATAATTAGAGCTAACGTGTCTAAAAATGGCTCTAATTACAAAATTATAACACTAGGTTTAGGAGATATTTGAATGCATGTTTGTCCTCTTATACCAAATCCGTTGCACTCAGAATTCAGACCGTTAAACTGCCACCCAAACAGAAATACGACACCGTGACATTCACTACCATAATATTGGGCGTCTGTGAGTCCGACACCGGCCCTATTCCGTCCCAATCTCGACAACAGAAACCAAGGTTAAGATGGAAAGATAAAAATTTGTAATTTGTTTAAAAGATTACAATTAACCCAATGGGGAAAAATAATTTGACCAAACGAGAGCGAAACAAATCGACCTTCGTCGAATAGACAACTCTTGGTGTTTGAAAATAAAAAGATCTCTCCTGCTGCTTCGTGTTAAACACTATACTGCGAAAATGGTGAAAAATTGGTCACGCGTTAAAATCTTTAAATAGCCTGCTCAAACCTACGATTTGAATACGATAGAAAATGCCTGAGCATATTTAAAAATAAAATTGACGGAGTATAGTGCTTCTCCATCGCCAGTAACTGACACGTGGCAATGGATGCAGAAAGAGTGGTCCCGTAAGTTATAATTTCATTTTGGGGGAATAAAAATAATTTGTTCCACCTCAGCGAACGGAAAACGTAAACTTTTATTGGCAACTGGCTCCTGCATCACGACATTACCACGCACAGCCTACACAACAAGAGCATTTTTTACAACGAATAATATGACAGTCGTTCCACGCTCTTCTTATTCGCCCGATTTGGCCACTTGTGATTTCTTTGTGTTCCCCAAAATGATATTAAAACTCGAGGGACGGCGTTTCGATGCTCTGGAACAAATGCAAAGCGAATCCGTAAAAGGTGTTTTACACGCTTGCTGATACAATACGTTCGACTATCTACGATTACGTGCATTTGCATGATTCGCGTCACTTCGCGGCAAGAAACGTCGGACGAGTTTCTTCGGCGAACACGTGGACCAAAGCCGCCTAAATCATTTTGAAACGGCTGTACGTATCGGCGACGTGAACATGCCCGAGTTGGCCGACCTCTGCCGACCTCCGCCGCTGTTCGACAATCTCCGTGCGCCGCCTCGTGCGTTTCCGGCTCGCCCGACGAAGGCGCACGAACATCCACGACGAAAAACCGAACCGTCAGCCCGAAATGGGAAGGGACACCAGAGCTCCGGGAACGTGTATCGGGAGTCGACCCATAAGTTCGTGTTTTTTAAGAATCTCAAAACAAACGTAACACAGCCTACTATTTTAATCGATGATCCATTGGACGCGTGCGGAAGTTTTGATGGGTCTCGATACCGTCGGAGAAATCGTATTATTTTGTAGAATATGATTCAATTAATCAATTATCGAATATTTCGTACTATTTTTTATTGATAAGCTAAATTGCTCTTTTAATAGTACGAAATATTTAAACTATTTCTTTCATTCCTGATATTGTGTGATCTTGAAAATCATACTATACAACATACTTGAATTTGTCTTGATATACATTTCCGTACGATGTAAAGAAATATGTAGCATAATTTCGGTCACATTCCATGAGCAACAGCCCCAAACCATCGAGAAACTACCACCAAATGTAACTGTGATTATAATTATGATTATATTACTATACTATTTTTTAGATTTCTTTTCGTAACCCTCGCAGTACCGATGGTTGGGTGTTCACGCTAAATCCCATGATTGGTCCAAGCGAACCCATGATCTTATGTATATAAACATTTTGAACAAAAATTTGATTATTATTATTGTTTTATCGTACTTTTTATTAATTTCTAAAGAGTTATACTAACTGAATAGTAACATTTATTCTTTACAATTTATGCAAAAAAACCTGTTAACTAAATAGATATAACGCATAACGAACAAGTTTAAATAATGTCCTCGAACAAACCATAAAAGAGATCTCTTTTCGAAGTCACAGTGAATACTGTTTGGAAATGCGTTTTTCGACGTTCGTTCGCTTTATTATCGCTCTAACGTAAACGGCGGCCGGCATCAAGTGTCAAACAGTCAAGGCAGGCTGCACCTCCGAGTCCGAAGAGACTCGGGTGTGGTTAGGTCTGGGTTAACGTGAGGTTAAAGCAGGCCCTACAGGATTTTCGACAAACCTCGTACAATGTTCGTTTTGTTGCTTTTGTTGATACATGTAATCTTTTTCTATAGTAGTACATACAAAGTCTAACATTGCACACAGTATTCTCAACTAAATATTTTTCATATATTTTTACCCTTGTACTTTTTAATAGTTCGTACTCCCAGGCTGTAACACGACGATTGGATTTATCGCGACAGGTTCATAGAGAATTAAATTTCATTGACATAGCGAGAAACGAGCGTAAAACTTTCGGTTGCCAACATCACGTAAGGGTTAATGGTAGCCGTGGCGGCGACAAAGGAGGATGCGCAGGTGGCACGGAAAGAGAGCGAGAGAGAGAGGAGGGGGGAACGGGTTGCGCGCGCACATCGTCGGCATCGCCCTCGCGAAATCATGAATGAAAACGGGCGAACAGCCAACATTGGATGTATGCTATCTTACCGCCGCGTATGGATCTCCTCTCCCGTCTTCCTTTCGAATGCACACGAGCTTCGACTCCGCTCTCGTGCTCCCTTTTGTACGGCGAAGTCTTTTGTGCCGCCCGGCCGAGAAAAGACGAATCGCTCTTACCAACACGCCCTTCTTCAACGGCGTGTTACTGTCGCGCGCAAGAAAGCCCGGTTTGAATGACGGCGTGAATGACAGAGCCGCCCGACATTTTGAGAGGTTTATTTAGGCATCTAGCCGGTAACGCGTTTACCACCGGTTCAATCCGCGAACGTATAAAGGCTATAAAATAAATTTCAGCGCGGAGACTTGCACGGGGAACGTATGTGAACAGGTGAGACTGACACGTGGGAAATTATAAAACGAGAAAGAAGAAAATAGAGACAGAGAGAAAAAGAAAATGTCACGAAACGAAGCGTAAGAATTCGAGACATTGGAATGTCTAGATTATTTTTAAAAACATCTGAAGAAGAATGTAGTCAAGATCAAGTTTCAATAGTTATTTTATCATTAGAATTACATTTCATTAAATATTAACCACATGCATATATATATTATTATTCAAAAGATGCGTTGTTATTTAGCACGTTTATGGTAATAAACGTAAAATATTGATGTTATAAAACGAAGCTAGAAAAATTAAATAAACATGCATTTTATTTCACCTTTCTATCCGTTAAGGAAAATACATTTCATTTAAGTTACTGACGTCGAAGAGAAGGACAAAAATAGAATTTATGAGGGCAGAGATCGCATCTAATGAAATGGTAATATTTTATGGCTTTATAATGGCGAGACAAAACACATCATTGCAATGTAAGCATTCAGATTTTATTCTTTTGGCTTTCTAACTTTTTAATTACCACGTGAATTCGACACATTTACCACGTAAGAATTGTTCGTTTTGAATTTTTCTGGCCATAAATTGACTAATACCGAGCTAAAAAGACACGAAATTTAAGAGTAAACTATTTCTATTTAGCACAAAATTCTACGGCGAACTTGGGGTTCTTAAATATTAAAAAACGTGGATGGAATAATTTTGTCAATAAATTACGACAACAGGAATACATTTCCTCGTATCATTCGTCGATAAAGACATCGGATATCCTTCCGCGAATGCCTCGTTATAATTACAAAATACGCAGAAATTGAGCGTGGGCTTACATTACTCGGTAGCATACCATCCTAATAAATAGATCAGGGGCGGGGAACCTTCTGGCATCAGAAGGTCGCGTGTTGGCTTCACGGACTCCTTCTAAGGTCACATACTTCGTCTACAGTCAATTTTATA